AGATTTTTTGGATGTTCAAAATAACCGTTACGTTGTAACTGGTTTGCATTACTTATCAAAATTCCTGCGATAAGTAACTTGAGTGCTGAATAAAGTTAAATAGATTTCGTATACCATTTTTGCATGAAGGATGCATCTTAACACTAAGCTAAACAGGTGAATTAACTCTCATAACATAATCTCTCATTACTATATGTGTCAGATTTGTTGATGAATCATCGCTCGCCACATATAACTTTTGAAGTCTATTTACTGTTGTCAGCGATCGAGAGTGATTTATTACCCCTCAAGTTTTATTTGATATAACTAGTGAACACTCACCTTTGCTTATTGCTTTGCAAACTCCCTCAAATATTTTTGATCTGTGCTTAAATCTTTAAGTACAACTTATGGTAGAGTTATACCAATATTTTTAATGAATATGCCACACTTGAAGTCATTCCGAAACTTCAAACATACATTTCAGAGTATGTTAGAACTGATGTTGTGTTTGATGTGTACAAACCGTTGAGCTTAAAAGCAAAAATTAGATCGAAGCGAGGCTTTGGAGAACGACAAAGCTTTATGAGAGATGACACCAACAAAACCAAATTATTTTAATTTTTGGCTGACACGATTGTTGAATATTGTACAGACAACATTGTTTATGTGACCTAAGATGAGACCGTGATATGCAATCATGAAGCAGAAAAATCTCGCACCTTGTAATCATGAAAAGGCTGATACAAGGATTTTTTTTGCATGTCCGGCAGAGCTTTCATAAAAGACACAATATTGTGCTGATTAAAGCAAATGATGCTGAAACTTTTTTGATTGCTATTAGTGTTTTTCATAATCTCAAAGAAATAGGTTTAGAAAATCTGAAGTAAGTCCATCTGATTGGGGCTGGAAGCAATTGCAGAGTCATGCAAGCAGCTTACAAAATTTGGATGTAAAAATGAATGTTGGGGTTGACGTATGTGTTTCAAGCTGAGTTTGCCATGTATTGCTCTATGCAGTAGTCAGTGTGATACATAATGATTTTTGAAAATGTTCTGATATTGTAAAAAGTTAAACTTAAAGAGCCGGAATGTTCGTTTAGAAAAAAAAAATTATTTTGTTTGAATGGTCAAGGATTGACCCGATTTGTAAATATCTTTATATAAAATGACTTTTTATAGTTGTTTTTTGAACGAATTTGTAGATTTAAGAAGATAGAATGATACTCATCAAAGGTATTGTGACTAGTTCGATAATTTCTAAGACAGGAGATTCCATTTCTAGGTTTCTAGATGGACAAAATGTCGATAATATCAGAATGAGGTGGTCTTTTATCCACCATTTTGAATTCAAAATGGCCTCCAACAGCCCCATGTTGATTCTGAATGTTGCAAAAAATATATTTACCAATTTCTTGTCGAGTTATTAGTGTTTATTTGCAACTTATGTGCTTTAAATATATTTAATTGTTTAGTTTCAAATGAACTTTTTTTTAATCGAAATAAAATCTAAAAACTATTTTTGAATTTTAAGAAAGTTTTAGTTGATTATCATTTCTTATACGTTCGTATTTTACTCGAATTAATAACATAAAAACATCTTTTTACGTGGCATTGCAAAGTATATTTCTACGCCGCTGATCGATACTCTTTCTTTTTAGATTTATGGCGAGTTTATTTGATGTAAGTTTATTGACAGTGACAATGCAGATCAATTAGAGATTTCTCTGAACTTGGATGAAATCTCTTCTGCAGAAGGAACTTTGCAAGTTTTGCTACATATATATATATATATATATAAATATATATATATATAAATATATATATATATATATAAATATATATATATATATATATATATATATATATATATATATATATATATATATATATATATATATATATATATATATATATACACATATATATAAATATATAAGTATATATATACATATATATGTTACATTTTTCCAGGACTTGCTCTGGCAGTAATTAAACTTTTTATTTTTTACATATATGTAAAAAATAAAGAGTTTAATTACTGCCAGAGCAAGTCCTAGAAAAATGTAACATAGAGTGCATAAGCTTAACTTGCAACTGCAGCTACATCATTTATGTTCATTGGTCTTAGACTAGATACAGCCCAATTATCTCAGGTTGCATTATAATAACGTTTCAGTGGTCAATACACTGACCAATCTAATGATTGCAGCTTCTGATAACTAGGTTTTAACGTCATACCTGACAAACCATCCAGATTTTGCTTACCCATTTCAAGGTGTTATTGATCCGGTTTCTGCTATGGACCATACCCCAGCTTTTAATTAATTGTTAACATCAAATCTGCCATCGGGCTCAGCCTCAAGTGTATGACCTATTCAGCCTTTGAAAATTTTCTTCTGGAGTCAGTTAAAATTTCTATTAACATCAAAAAAATTTCGGTTTCTGCTATGGACCATACCCCAGCTTTTAATCAATTGTTAACATCAAATCTGCCATCGGGCTCAGCCTCAAGTGTATGACCTATTCAGCCTTTGAAAATTTTCTTTTGGAGTCAGTTAAAATTTCTATTAACATCAAAAAAAATTTTTGGAGTCTAGTGTTTCTGTTTACATCTTTCATAAAGCAAGTCTAAAAAAAATGAGCAATTCATAAAAGCATAATTAAGAAAGTCAGTTAAAAGACATAAGCGTCAGCGTACCTAAATACTCTCAGACTCTTCAGTTCAAAATGAACTATATAAGCTTTAGATAAAATAAAAAACTCAGTGAAAAAAGATAAAACATCATAAGACTTTACCCCAAAATAAAGATCTTCATGACAAGAAAAAGGAAACTTAAACATGTTAGGTGAGATTAAAAAAAAAAAGAAAATATTTTAAACAGCAGTAACAGTGACAATTTTTTATTTGTTACAATATTTATTACTACAATATTTATTCAAACGTATACAAAAAATAAAGTTACACGTAGAAAGTTCGATAAAAAGAGTAAAACTTTAACAATATTTAATAAACTAAATAAAGAACGCGAACACTCGAGAAGTTTTTACCAAGAACCGCTGAAATTAAACGTGATAAATAAATGATTGTTAATAACTTTTAATTTGATAAAATAGATTGTATATGACGTTAAAATTAATATCATTTTAAAACAAGTTTTTTTAGGTTTTCTTTTTCTGAAATATATGCAGATTAACATTATCTTTAATATAGACATTAAAATCTTTTAATCATTGAAATCATTAAAACAGTCTTTTAAAAAAAAAAAATTCTCTTTACTACTGAATTTATTCAAGCTGATATTGGTCAGATTAGATATAATTTTAAGAATAATAATAATCAAAATTCGTAATTATAAATTATTTCTTCATTTTGGGCTTAAATTGTACCACAATCTATATTGAAAACCATAGATTTAGTAGAATTTTAAATGGAACTAAACTGGTTCGGAAAGTTGATGTTTTGTGTTGATTTTTTTGGACTTTTTTTTTGCTATTGGTAGTTAGAGAGTTTTCAGTAATTATTATTATCAATAAAACTCTGTAACTATCATAACTGAGTTTTATTGATAATAACTCTGTATTATCAATAAAACTCTGTAACTATTTTTTTTTTTGCTTTTGGCAGTTACAGAGTTTTCAGTAATTGATTGGGTTTTCCAATTCCCATAAATATTACGTATAGTTGTCCTAATATATATTGAGTTCAAATGGCTCAACCGTTTTTACAAACCGTATATAGATGATTCTTATAACTCAAAAATTGCTTGTCAAATAACATATAATTGGCATTCAACCCCCCAATATTGCAAAACAAATATTTCACAACTCCATCTATTGGAGTAATTCACACTCACGCATGCATTCTTTTTTCTTTTTTTTTTAAACTTAATAAAAGTTATAATTAAAAAAAAAATTAAACTAAATTACAGAAATTAAATTACAATTGTATTGTAGTTTCAGTGGCGGATTGAGACTTTTCGGGGCAAGGGATATTTAATTTTGGAGGTCATTTTTGTGAGCCACAGCGTAAAAAAAAACTTAAAAAAACAACAGCAATAACAAAAAACTTCTTAAAACTATTTTGAGGCCCCTAAAATTGCGAGGCCCGGGGCTATAGCTCCTACACTCCCCCCCCCCCCCCCTCCTTTTAATCCAGCACTGTGTAGTTTTACTTCAGGATATTGTAAAGAAGTAATTTGATACTTTAACAACTGGATAAATGTTTAGCTACAGTAAAAAATAATTTTTTAATTGTTTAACTTTGCTTTTTTTTTTTTTCTAAAAAGCATGATAAATTTTTAGTAAATTAATAACAACTTTATTAAAATATATATATATATATATATATATATATATATATATATATATATATATATATATATATATATATATATATATATATATATATTTAAACAGCAGTAACAGTGACAATAGATTAGAATCACAATACTTTAACGAGATGTCTTGTAGTTCTGCTTCAGGAAATAGGAAAGAAGTAATTTCATACTTTAACAATGGAGGAAACGTTGAGCCTTGAGCCTTAAAAAATAACATTTTTTATTGATTTTTTCTTAAGAAAAATAATGATCTTCTTTTAAAAAAAATAAATCTGTAATAAAATTAATAATTTTATTGGTTTTTATTAAAGTTTTGATGACTTTAATGCAATTCTTTCACATTCATGGTAAAATTTAAATTCGAATCAAGTATACATGCATAGAATCAAGAGTGCACGTAGGGTAATGCGCTACAATTAAGACCTGTTGGAATGGGGTAGATAAGTTTAGCAACTGATACTTTTTTGATTTTCTATAAAAATGAAAATAAAAGATGCCTTATAGCATACAGTAAACCTTCAGTTTGTTAACCACAGTAAACGGCAAAAATAAAAGTTGGAGTATTATTGGTAAAGATTTTGTTTTTTGTTGTATGACTTCGAAAACTAATTACAAGTTACTAAATACAATATCCTGTTAACTTTTTATTTATTATTGGTTCAAATTAATAAAAACACAATTATAAGATGGAAATAGTATCTTTCCATTTAGTAAATATATATATAATTACTAGACGAAAATGAATTGTTGCTATCAAGCAAGTAGCTTTATACAGTTATTTGTTTTGTATAACACGAATAAAATGTATTACATTAGATGCTTATGGCGTACTCATGTTCTACAATAAAAAGTAGCAAACGCTATTTGTGTTATTTGTATTCACATTCTTAATAACAAAAATATTTTTTCTGTCGATAAAATTATATATACTAGTACATACAACTTTTAGAACATATAAATTTTTGTTTAATTTAAAAACACTAGCAAGTTCAGAAAATAAATTGATAAACTTTTGGAAAAGCAAAAATGTAAGTTTAACACATTATCTATGTTGTATTTTTGATATTTTTATATTTTTAAATACTATGGAAAATTTGTGTTATAGCGTTTCAGGCTAGCCATTTTGTCTACTAAAAGAACGTCGTAAGTTTGTTTTTTCTTAATACACTTAAAACACGTTTTGATAAGATAAAAATAGTGTCACTTCTTTTACCAACGCATGTTTGAAAATCAGATTAATTTATAACTGCATGTTGGGGTTTAAAGAAGAATCTTTATTTTTATCTATATTTTGCATTCTCGCTAGAGCTGTAAGTGCCAAACCGGCTCTGTGACGTTTGATTGCTAATCTTGAAATAGTCTTTGTATTTTGCTCCATTACGCTTCTAATCTCTGAATTTTCAGTATTGTTGTCTTCAGGCTTTGGTTCGGTACAATATAAAATTAACATTCTGTAAGTTTGTACAAATATAACGAGAGCATTTTTTATTATGAGCAATATCATCATTTCTGTAACAACTTCGTAACGAGTAACAAGTACAAAACGAAATATAAAAAAGGGACCATCTTGCATACATAGAGCCAATAAAGTGCCTACTAACTCCAGGTATTTTTTAATACATTTTTTATGCTTACTTTTTTTAGTCTCGTCAAAAGGTTTATCATTTTCTGGATCTGCATCTTCAACCAGGCTAGCTATAGGCATTTTAGACAAGTTTGAATCGTACAATGCCCGCCAGGAACTGTTGTCTTCTTTATCAAAGTCATCATGTTTAAAATTAGTTGGAAATGTTTGTTGCGTAACTGTTTGCTTATCATCACTAACTCTTTGGAGCATTGTTTTATAATGCATATACGATGTAGGTCCTACTTGATTTGATTTAATTTTTTTTAAATAACTCATTTCTTGAAACTCGTTGTATTCTTCTTTTTCTTCTTGTTTCAATCCTTCTTCAGGTAATATTATAGTTAATGAAAACTGAAGCACAGATAAACCCCATACTCCCATAACCCCATGTAATATGGAAGCAGTTCCACCAATTTTTTGAATGTCAGCTATAGCAACATCATTTGCATAAATATCATTAAACTCAACAATATCCGCTGCCGTGCCAATATAAATTAATATGATTTGAGAAAACTGCTGCCGGGATAAAGTACCTAAATTGTAAAAGAAAAATATTCAGTAGAAGCATGTAGACAGTAGTGATGATGGATGTATTTTTTAGTGTGAGGATGGTTGCTTGAATGGGAAGGTAAAACATATACATGTTGGCATTTTCTAAACAGTAAATATTTTCTTAAACTGTATTAGGAATAAATACCAAATGTTAAATTTTGTTTAATATCTGTTAAATTTTAGGTGTTTGAAGATACCGCACTTTAAGATAATTTCAAAAATTATTAAAATTTAAACAAATAAAAAAATATCGTACTAGACTAGATTATTGACTAAATTTGTGTCTTAAAAAAAGTTAACTTATTAAAAGCCTAATTTAATAAACAATTTGCTGTGGGATTCATTACGCATTTGTTTAGTTGCTTAATTATTATAAATATATTATTTTTTACTTTATGCCGTATGTGCTTTTTACGAAAAAATGTGTTCGTTTTATTAGCATATGAAAGTTACAAAAGTATTGTAGGTTACCTAAGTATGTGCTTGTTAGCTAAGTATGTGTTTGTTGCCTAAGTTTGTGTTACTTAAATTAGTATGGTTTGTGTGACATTTGACATGTGATATTTTTGCTAGTTTATTGCTTCATAAATAAATTATTAAATAAATAATAATGATTAAATTACCTGAAGGAAGCATCCATCTTCCGATAATTAAAATAAATAAACCAGTCTGTTCAATAACAATAATTCTTTTTAAAAAAGACCATTTGCTGAAGGTCTATAAAAAATGTATAAATGTATAAATTTTTTTTGTTTATATATTGTCTATTGTAAACCTTATTAGCTCTACTGCAAAGCTATCAGGTCTTTTCCTACCTTTTCCAGATTCCCTTTACATGATGATTCCCTTTACATAATGATTTCCTTTACATGATGATTTCCTTTAAATGTTTTAAACGAAAGTTAATGATTCAGACTAATACAGAACTAAGACAGAAAAAATGGATAGTATTGTTAATCTGTCGGTAATAGTTATGATTTTCCTTTACAAAATGCTTTTAAAAAAAACAAAAAACAAATCGGATTAAGCTGCTTAATTACTTTAGATTCAACCCTTTCACCTTATACAATAAACACCTCCACCTTATACTTCAAACACCTCCACCCTACACTATTTTTATTTAGGTCAAGTTTTATTTAAGTAACCAATAATATAACCAATAACTGAATCAAAAATTGCGAACTGATTCCCATCAAGCAATCAGTGTCATTGTTTCTTAAAATATTAATCTGTGCTTTTAAACGGTTATATGAAACAAACACAAAAAACTACCAAAAACGTTTTAAAATAAAAATTACCCTAACAGACTAACAGGATATAGTAAAAAAAAAAAAAATTATTTAAACTTTACAAATCAATAAGTAACGGATATATATTTTTCAAAACATTTGTACTATTGATAGATAATAAAAACATACTCTTGTTATGATATCTTCACCAAGCAAATCATATGAACAATCTTCATATACAATACATTGAATTTGTCTGTGACGAAAAAAGGAAATGCTTACTATCAGTACGACACAGTAAAAAAATGCGCTCGGACAAAACCTAATTTTAAATCCAATAAAAAAACAAATTAAAGAAAATAATTTAAATAATAAATAAAAACTTGTTTAAATAATTTTAAGTTAAAAAGTTATGTATTAAATAATAACATTTAATAAATAACTGAATAATTTATTTTAGAAATACCGAAGTTATACTTTACCCATAATAAAGTTTAATGCTTTAGTACAAAATAATAGAAACAAACAAAACACTAACTGTGAATAAAATAAGGGATTATATCGATAAAGGGATTATCTCCCTCAAAAAAAGAGAGAGATATCTTCATAATATTTCCACTCGAAAAAATAACATATCTAGAAAATATTACTTGTCCGAAATATAAAGAAGATTCAAAAAAAAAAAATTCCACTTAAGTAAATTTTTAACATAAATAGTAATTTTACCTAAGATGATTTATTATTTACACTGGAGAAATTATTTTAAAAGAAATGTCTATTGACCTTTAACTTATGTACTTTTGTAATCTTTTGTACTTATCTTAATGAAATAAAAGCACTGATTTGAAATCAATTTTTTATTCTGCTGATCGAATTTAATTCTCCGAAATTTTAGTAGCTGTTGTAAATTTTTACATTAAGCTAATTTAATGGAAGCTTTCAATGAAAAAACACATAGTATTTTCAAAAAATCAGGCACGGAAACGTTAAATATGTTTTGAGTTTTATACTGATAATAATATGTCTTTAATATACTCACATTTAATACTAATCTATATAAATGTTTCGTAAATAAAGAACGGTATACATCAGTCATACTATCAAAGAATAAATTTGAAGAGGAATCACGCACGAAACAGAAAATTACAAATTTTAGTTACTAGATAAAACAAACTTTAATTTTTCCAAAAATATAAGTTTTAGCAGCATAAAAATTTCCAGAAAGTTACAGGATTGCAATATTATCCTAGAGTCACAGCAATCGTTTAAATGAAGTTCATTTATACTCACGCACAGAAGTCACGCTCGGAAGTTGCAAATTATTAGAGTTCATGTCGTTATTTTTATGAAAATAAATTGCTTGTTAGTATTTTAAGTGAAATATTATATCTCTACAACTCATATTTAATATATTTTCAATGAGAAATAGTAGTGATTAAATATTTCTAGCTTGAGTATAGCGTTTAGAAAATCATTGTATATTTTTCAAACTAATGCGACATTAGCACAAAAAATATAAAGTAATAAAAATATATTTAAACATTCACACAACCGAATGTATAACAAAAATATTTTTATTATAATTGTTCTTTAAAATAATCATAATAGTATTTTAGTAAATTACTTTAAGTCCTAACTTCTAATTGCAAAAAAACTACCCAGTTGGCGCAGTGCGTTTTTTAAAATGTATTTTGGACGTTTTTGTTAGGTTTAAGCCTAGTGAAAACGTTCCACGCTCAAAGTGAATTATTTCAATAAAATTAATAAATAAATTCAAACATAAACCAAGTAATTGTTGGGCTGCCATACGTTTAAAAATTTTAAATTTTGATTAATGTTTTTTGTGTTATTTAACACAAAAAACATTATTAATCAAACACAACTTGCTTTAAACAAGTTATTTTCTTTATCCAGTTCTATATTCATGTCCGCATATAATATTTTGATATAATTGTTGGTGAGAAATAGATTCGTGTCATCTGCAAACATGACTGAATTCAGTTTTAAGGATGCATTACAGAAGTCATTTATATATATTAGAAAAAGGAATGGATCAAGAATCGATCTATGCGGGACTCCCCATAATACATTCAGTACTCCAGATTCGACATTATTCACATATTGTTTTCTGTTGGTAAGATTTTTAATCCAATAATAGGTTTTATTAATTATTCCGGTCTTAATTTATCTAAGAAAAAGCAATGATCCGCAGTATCATATGATTTTGATAAATCAAGAAATACTTCTTAAGAAAACTTATTACTTTAAAAACTATTAGTTATTTGATTTACTTCTTCAATAATTGCATGGTCACTTACAAGATTTTTTTGAAAGCCAAACTGATTTGGTTGAAAAAAGTTGTTTTTAACAAAGTAATCACAGATTCTATTATAGACTACACGTTCGAAGAGTTTTAAAAATACATAAAGCCTGTAGTTTGTCAAAATGATCATTACATTTGTATAATGGAGTTACTTTTGCTAATTAATATACATCCGGAAAAGTCCCATAATTTAACAAGAGCTTTCTTATACGTATTAGTGGACTTTCAAGACTGTGTTTGTTGCAATAACTATATGTGCATTTATAATTTTATTATGTACAAATAAAAATATTAAATCTATAAAAAAAAATTATAAATATATATAACCAATTGCGGCCGTGGCGCAGTGGTTAGAGCGCTTGCTTTATAAGCAGGAGATCCGAAACGAGCTCTGGACATATTTTCGCGTTACGGTGAAGAGGCGTAAACTTCCTGGTTAAATGCACTTTCGCGGTGCTCTGTGACCAGACCGTTTAGTCTTTTGGGGACACCTAGATAAAAATAAAAAATAAAAAAAATTTAGTCTTACCAGTGGAATTCCAGTCCCTTTCGACCAATTGCATTATATAGGCCTTCAAACACTAATAGAAATAATAGTATTAACAAATACCAAAATCTATTATCTTGCTCTTGTTTAGAAACTATCCATATACATAATAAACCATGTACGAAAAATAACAATCTTGGGAACAACGCTTTGATAACTAAAAGTGCAAGTGTAGATTTTTTCATTGGTTGTGTTACATTCATTGGTGGCGTCAATTCATTGGTAGTTTTACTGCATCAGTAGTATTGGAACCATTAACTAAGTTACAAGTAATAAAAAACTTTAAATTGAATTCAATTTTCATTTATACATAAGAACTTAAGCGTCAAACACAGTTTTGCAAATATTTTTCAAGCACTGCTCTTCTTAAAGTTTAAAAATCATTTTTGGATTTTGGATAGGAAAAAAAAAATGTTAACAAATTTTGCTTAATTCTTTGATATTTTTTTAAAATTCTTTTAAAAACTTTTTAAAACTTTGAAAGATTTTCTGCTTTATAAGTATAAAAAAAAAATTATAAACAATAAAAAAGGATCTCCATCACAAATATTAGTAGAAATATTTATTATCAATATCAAATTATTTATATAGCAGTTATATGTTAGTTTACCGTCTTCAAAAACAAAATAAGTCCATTTTGCTTTGCGCTTGATTTTACGCAAAATTAAAAATTTCTTATTTTGTTTCGGTTTTTACGAAAAAATGAAAAACTGTTTTTGTTCGTATTGGTTTTATTTAGCAATATTTTTAAAAGTTACATTTTGTACTGCATTTTTGGAGACGCAGATGCTAACTGACAAATAAAAAATGAACATATTTATAAGATTTATTATGTAAAAGCAACATTTTTTCCAGCATTTCAAACTTTTTGCTTGTCACCTTGTAGTAAGAGTTGAGTCACCCTGCTTGAAATAAAGGTGTATTAAAAAAAAGTGCCATTTTAAAGTAAACCAAAGCAAGACGGCCCGGTGGTAATAACGCTCGATGGCCGCGTGGTAATAACGCACGTTGGCTATTAATAAATAATGTAGGTGTATAAGATGGCGATTCATTAAGGAACATTTTTTTTTAAAAAAAAAACTTTCATCAGTTATAAAAGTTATTTTAGGAAAGACTTAATTTTTGTAAATGAATATACTTGTAAATGAATATATGAAATTTTGAATGTTGTTGTAAATAAATATTCTTATAAATAAATATTTTCATGAATAAATAGAAATTAAACTACGTTAGAGTTTCAAGGGATTTAAACTAAGGTAATATATAACTAAGATAAAAGGTTATAATAGTAAATACGCTATAATATTTTATATTGCTTTCACTAAAATATTTTATATTACTTTTAGTATATTGTAGTATTTTATGTTCATACATACAATGTATTACAATAAAGTATGTATACAATGTTGTATAATGGAGTTTCACTCTTTATTTTGCTCCCCACTAAAAATCCTGGATCTACCGCTGCTCAGTTTATATTATACATTATATCATTATGTATTTTACTTTATATCAACTTCTAATTTCATTATACCAACTTCTTACTTCATTATATCAACTCCTTATTTTATTATTAAAGCAACTTTAGTTAAAACATTTATTTTTAAAATAAAAATAGAAAACACTTTTGAACTGATAAAGTATTTTTCTAAACATTCATTAAATATAAAGTTGCTTATGTATACATAATATATATGTAAGAGTTTTTACCATTATAATTTCTTAAGATAATAATGTTTAATAAATCTGTTTGAACTTACGATTCGTAAAACTAGTGTTGGTTACAGCAATTAACGTAACATATATATATATATATATATATATATATATATATATATATATATATATATATATATATATATATATATATATATATATATATATATATATATATATATATATATATATATATATATATTATCCCTAATCAATGGAAAAACTTCTTGTTAATTTTTCAACAAAACACAAAATGTCCTTTGAGGGGGTTTTGTGAATAGTATTATTATCTTGATTATAGATCTTTTTTAAAAAAAACAAAAAACTTCTGTTTCTTAAAAAAGTCTTGAATATTACATCTTAACAAGTTTTCTGATGTCATAACAACATTGAAATAATTAGAAATAAAATAAATTTAATTTAGCGCTATTTAAAATTGATTCGTTCTATATACTTATAAAAATAAAATCTAGATGGCCCTTACTTAAAGCTTTTATTAAATAGATCTTATTACCTGCAGGGCCATATTTCCAGGCAACTAAGTTGCTTTATAAAGTCCTAATCTATAATCAATTAATTATTTATTTGAAGTTAATAAAATATTTATTTTACTCATTTTGAAAAATATTATAAATTAACTTAACTGCAATTCAATATCAAAAGCTGTTTATTAAAGTTATATATATAATTTGAATGATTTTTAGAAAGTCTTTTAAAGAGATAAAAACCAGAAGAACAAACCAGAAGAACAAACTAGAAGAACAAACCAGAAGAACAAACCAGAAGAACAAACCAGAAGAACAAACCAGAAGAACAAATCAGAAGAACAAACCAGAAGAACAAATCAGAAGAACAAACAGAAGAACAAACCAGAAGAACAAACCAGAAGAACAAACCAGAAGAAAGTTTTTTAGAGAGTTATCAGCTAAAAATCGAAAAACAGCTAAAAATCGAAGAACAAATATAAAAAGTTCTATTTGATTTTATTTAAATAATTTGTAGTTTGATAATCTGGCTCTATTAAAATACTAAAACAAACTGTATAACAATTTTAAATATAAGTTGCAGGATTGTTGCAGCGTTAACGCCTACGCAAGATTTGGTGCTAAAAGTTAAACTTTATAGCGCTGAATAAAAATGTATTTTGTGTTCTACAAAAGGTTTTGCAGATGTGTATAGCGGTTAATACTTTACATAGAAAACCGCCTAAAAACATTTTTAAACGCCTAAACATTTTCAAATATAAATATTTAAGGAATACTATAGTTATCAACAACGTAAAGCCATTGACGATATTAACAACAGTTTAAAACCATTGACGACGTTTTTTACTTATTTTAGTCTATATATGTTTTAGTAATAACAAAAGCAAGTATATATAATAAATTTATATGTAAAAGTCTTAAGTTATATATAACTTTAGACGTAAGCTTAACTAAAAGTTAATTTATTTTCACAATATTTTAAATTGTTATTACAAATATTTTAGTGCCAATAACTTTTTTGCTGCCAATATAACTCGTGTTACACATATTTTTGTTGATGCTAAAACATGAGCCCTTGAATGAAAAAGTGGGCCATGTCCATATCATACATTATGAAATACAATACACACTATAACTACTTTATTAGTTACAAAGGAGAGTCAGTAACTTAAGAAAAATGTAACAGTATAAAGAAATGATTTTGATTGGTTGTAATGTTAAAAATTACTTTTCTTCTAATTGTGAAACGGCAAAGTATCAGGTCAAGATTGGTTCATGTCAATATTTTTTATGTCCACTATTCACACTGTACACCTTTTTTGATATAACATACTACAACACTAACTTTTATGATATAACATAACACCTTTTATGACATAACATACCACAACACTAACTAAATAACATTTTCCTTTGCATTAAATACTTGAATCCTCCTCCTTCTCCTTGAAAATAAAAATTCATCTTCAATATCTCCATTTTGAGATGTAAGATTTTGGAAAAAGCTGTGGTGCACTGGAGGTATATAAGGAAAAAGTTGCTTGAGATCCTTCAATTTAGCTTCAGTGACTTGCCTTCTTTCTAGATATAAAATAACTTGACCAGCAGCACTTATGGACGTAGTAAGACCTTTTTTTTGTCTTGAAAAATCTGAAATCTTCCAATTTTCTAAGTCTTTTAATGAGTACTTGAATTGCATTATTATTGGGTATCTAGATTCTATACGTAGACACTAAATGTGTAATTATTTAACTTGTTATCAATCAATAGCTTAATGTCTGTTAACAGCAACATGTTTCACCCAATCAGCAAGAGACAGAAATTCGTTTTTCTGTATTTTAATAACCTGAACTAAACGGTTTCTTTTTCTTTGCTTTTGATGCCAATTCCATCCATTGTTCAGGAATGTATAAGTCATGCCTATGAAGGGCTCTTTCAATCACACCAAAATTGGCATCATTTGGCAGAAAACTGTAACCTGTTCTTATAAATCTTTATTCAAAAATTCTGGCTCTTTTGACTGACGTATGCTGGGAAGGAAGCTATGTGCTCTTTAGCTGAAGATTTGTCAATATTTTTATGATGATTGTAATTTTTCTCCCCTCCAATTATTTACTCCACCAATTGACGCTCTGAGAATTCTGTCAAGTCGAACGTTACTGATTTGGAAAAATTGCAAGAACAATAATTTGCGTACTATCTCCATTTTTAGATAATATCTCTAATATAATATAGATATCTCCATTTTTAGAATCCAATGTCTTGAATATCCAGTTTAATAATACAATCATTTCAAGATTTATGTTACGCAAGGTTACGAAGACATTTTCCTTTAATGTGCTTTACTCGTTTAGTTGTGTACGCCTTACCTGAATTCTTGGGGGCCTTACGCAAATTTTCACCCCACTTGCTTGTTTGCAGTTTCTGTTTTTGACCTGGATCAGTATCGAATAATTTAATCTCATTACCATTTTATTGGCCTATAAGGAAACAAAGTTAAAAAGAGATAATTACTTGGCTAGTATTAGTATTATAGGTTTAAATTATATTATAATCGTAAAATTACCTAATTTACTGGTACCAATATTATGACAATCATCCCCATCTTCATCAGAGCTCTGATTCTCTTAAATTATAGACATCAGATTGTCATTAGATTGGCTTTCACTTGGCTCAAATGCTGGAATATTATAAACCTCAAATTAATCATTTAATATAAACGAAATGCATCTTTGTTTGCTCATTTTTACTATGACTTCATTAAAAAAATGAAAATATTGGTGTTTTAATAAGTATACAAGCTCTAATTTAATGCTAAATTAGAGCTTGTATACTTATTTTTATCATTTCCAGTGTCATTGAAACAAGTCAAATAAACTTCATGATCAGCCATTTCAATCAGCTGTTGAACATGACTCACTGTATTACAAAACAAATTGTTTCTACTTCTTAGAAGTACTGAAGCTTATGTGTTGAATTTAATTTTTTTTTAATTAATTTAACACCTAAGCATTTGTGATTAACTGATACAATTTAAAGAGAAATAATAATTAATAA